GATTTTTTTGCACCCTCACATTCCAGATTTTCAAATAGTTGTATCTCGACCAAATATTGTCCTATCCTAACAAACCATAACTCAATGGAAAGCTTATTTATTCAACTTTCCGATGTTGTATAAATCTCAATTTCGACAAATTTACCCTTATGACTGGTTTTGTGGTCCAGGGTCACAAATATACATGCCGATCCCCTATAGAATGCATTAATTGAGATGTATTAATGTTGCCATTACAGATGGTCATAATGTGATCCACAATGGGTGTTTACCTGCAGCTCTGAAGGCAGCTGGAAGCTCATCTGCTCCAATAGTTCCTGAGCGATCCCTGTCATAACTCTTATAAACTCCCTATAAAACAGACAGCTTATTATGTTAACTGGGTTATCTTGATGTCTTTTTTTAATGGTCTCACTCTTTCAGTCATTAATCTATTTAGTCCTAATACTTAATACTATTTCTGTTGTACAGTTATACCAGAACATGTAAATCTTCAATCAGCAATATGAATAGATCAAAACTACTAACAAATACACAACTTTGTAAATCAAAACTCCACTTGAAAATCACACAAAGGCAAATCTTCCAGTTGTTACATCTACTCACCTGCCATTTCTTGATGTTGTTCCAGATATGTTTAAACTCATGAAATCCCAGTTTACCTGTGCTGTCACTCTGGAGCACAGCGTCAAGACCAAACACCATCAAACAATCTCAACATCAGCCTCAAAGACTTTAATTTATGCTACTGGATATGGATTTAGGATATTCATTTGTTATTTTCACATTTATATTACATTTGACGTCACCTAACAATCAATCAAAATTATATGACATTATAATATTGTGATGCCTAAATTCACTTGTAGCATCTACAGTAGGAGTGTCCAAACCTGTTCCTGGAGGACCATTGCCCTGCAGAGTTCATTGAATTAAACATACTAGCACCAGCTATTCAAGGTCTTCAGACTGACCGGAAACTTCCAGGTAGTCCTCTGTAGGACGTTGGCCCCTAGACACCTTTGATCTAAAATGACTAAAAATTTTATGTTTTACTTTTATTTAAATTGCACAGCCATTTACAGGTTATCGGCTATCGACTTTCGTATTCACCAGAATTGTTGTAATAAATTTTCTACTAAAATGACTGTGAAAACTGCGAACTCCATCTTGTTGGTTTGTATTAGAGCAAGTGTTCAGATCAAATGAGGGAGGATACATCCATGACAGCCACCATACTTCTACATGACTCGATGGTAAAGCCATCTGTCTTCAGATCACCATCTGCAATAACATACAGAGCAGAGAGAATCAGCGTCATATAGCAACAGACTTAAGGCTACACACACATACACACATATACCACTCACGTTTGGAAATGATTTTGTTGAGGATATTCATCAGCTCATTTGGGCTTACTTCCATGTCCTGAAACCAAAGGAAATGTGTATGATATCCAGTGTTTATTGTACGTATTTGTGTATATATGAATACTTGTTCGTCAAATACTAACATCGCCAGCGAGCTGCTGGAACACTCTGCGGAACTGCTTCTCTTCCTCAGACTCATTGGCCTCAGCATAAGCCAGTGGTCTGCGGGGTGGGGGCTGGGGACGGGATGGCAATAGTATCAGCATCTCAAATGCACTCATTTCATTTTCTCTCCACACAAACAAAATCCACTGACTTTATAAGCACATCCCTAATGCAAATATTCTTAATGTCGCAAGAACTCTCTCAATCACTCATATTTTGACTAAGCAATCCAGTGACTCTCTAGCTGACGTGATGGACAGAAAGTGCTTTACTCTACAGCATCTTTATGAAACAGACATTTCTTCCGTGAATATTTAGCAGTTTTCTTTATTTACTGAAACATAATAAAAGCATTAAATTAAATAACTCTAGATGTTTCTCTAGCCCAGATTTTGGCAAGAACATACAGCTATATATCATTGTAAGGGACAAAAAAATATGCGTTTTTAAAAATATTTTAATATAACATGTATTTTCAAGTATTTATCTACATTTTTATGAAAAGATTATTTTTTACTGGATTATTAATCTATTTACTTCTACATGACTCGATGGTAAAGCCATCTGTCTTCAGATCACCATCTGCAACAACACAAAGGGCAGAGAGAATCAGCATCATGTAGCAGCAGACATCAGGCTACACACACATACACACATATACCACTCACGTTTGGAAATGATTTTGTTGAGGATATTCATCAGCTCATTTGGGCTTACTTCCATGTCCTGAAACCAAAGGAAATGTGTATGATATCCAGTGTTTATTGTACGTATTTGTGTATATATGAATACTTGTTCGTCAAATACTAACATCGCCAGCGAGCTGCTGGAACACTCTGCGGAACTGCTTCTCTTCCTCAGACTCATTGGCCTCAGCATAAGCCAGTGGTCTGCGGGGTGGGGGCTGGGGACGGGATGGCAATAGTATCAGCATCTCAAATGCACTCATTTCATTTTCTCTCCACACAAACAAAATAAATAAATCAACAGAGAATGAGCAATTAACATGTGCATAAATAGTTTTTCTTTACTACAGATTTTTATTCAATTAAACATTTAAACAATGTATAAAAAAATGTAGATATATAAAATACAATTACAGACACAATAAAATCTCAATTTGTCTATTGCCCTATTATCGGTTTATCGACAAACCATTTCACTGTTAAATCATTATTTCTATCAGTAATTGGTATATTTGTATATCTAACAGTAATATGTATTTTAATATAACATGTATTTTCAAGTATTTATCTACATTTTTATGAAAAGATTATTTTTTACTGGATTATTAATCTATTTATTTACATTGTGATAATTCATTGCTTGATTATTGATTTTTAAATTCATTTCTCAGTTATTTGTTTGATAAAAAATTGATAAAGATTTAAACTGATTAAATTAATTTCCCAAATGATTATTGAGTACCACAATTGTGGCCCCATATATATTACACATCAGAGATATGGGCACTATACTAGCACTGCAGGTTTCTTTCCATTGGCTCTTCTTTGAAACTGACTGACAACAAGCATTAGACACGCTTATGTATAACATCACAATGTGAGCTGTTACTCACAGGATCTGAAGGCACAAATTGGCCGGGGTCGATATTGCTGTGGAAAAAAGCAAAGGTGGCATAATTATGCTTTTTCTCCTTGAAGCTGTGCATGAACATATTCCTTCTCAAATGAGTCCCAAAGGGACAAACGCATAATCACACACATTCACATGGAAAAGTTACTCCATGAACTGCACCTGAAATTATGGCAAAATGGCCAAAATGGGGCTCAATGCAACACTGAGTGTTCACTTTTCAAAGGGCCTTGGTTCCCATGCATTTTGTAGGGATTACAGGGATTTTAAACAATTCTTCAATACTGTTTTTAAACAATTCTTCAATACAAACCATGAACCAAACCAACAAGCTTTAATATCTTTAATGAAGCAATGAACTACACTCCCACAAAACACTCATATGAATTAAAATGGCAATATAATATAAACTTGCTTAGGTACAGAAGAAAGAGAGTGAGTCTATAGTCAAATATTGCCTCACCTGACCACATCAATAATGCCTCCAATAAGTTTCTTTGCTAGAAACATCTTGTGGCACAAATGGTTCAGTCACTTCTTAAAAGGAAGAAGAGAGCTAGAATTGTTAAACAACACACACATATAAGTATACTAGGGTTGTAGCGGTACACTCTAAAAAATGCTGGGTTAAAACAACTCAATTTGGGTTATTTTGGCAACCCAACGCTGGGTCAAACATGGACAAACCAAGCTGGTTGGGTTAAATGTTTGACCCAACATGCTGGGTTGTTTTAATTAACTCAGATATTGATTGAAAATTTATATAGCTGGCTTAAAATGAACCAAAAATTGTTTGGAAATTATAAATCAGACACAGAATTACTAGAGGCAACAGTAAAACTCAAAAAGGTTACGTTTACTAATAAGATTTTTTTATTAAACAGTGGTTTACTGAAAAAATTGCTTTCTTTACAACACAAAATTTTAATTTTCACGTTTGCTGAAAGGTTTAATACAAAAATGTCAGCACAAGGGGGTTTGTGAATGTCAATCATCTCAGTGTCTGTTGACACAATGTGGACACACCTAACGTTACTACAAGTATGTCCTCCATCCATCCACCACCCACACTAATTAAACAGCAAAAAAAAAAAAAAAATTCTCAGATTTTCAAAGCGAAACCTGTATAAACTGGAATTTAAATACTCGTAAACAACCGTTTGCAACAGAATGAAAGTTTAGGGGTAATTCGGGGCGTTTTCAACTCTTTAGATCGCTTTAAATACGAACGATACGGCGTAAATTATCTTGCTGGCTATGTGTTTTGTCAGCAGAAATCTTCTCCTGATAACAGCATTTGTTAGTTCCCTTTAAATAATTTAATGCATTTAAATAATAATCCGGACAATCGAGCATGAACGTATTAGATGTTCAACTAAATTTGGATGCGAGTAAAACATGCTAGCACGCTAAACAAGCTACCCGACATGACTCCGCATTAAACAAGTAAAATTCCCACATAATATGAATTTACCGGACACTATTTCCGCTACTACACGTGTAAAGATATTTTTTATCTCGCTCTTAAGGGCGCAGAAAGATTAAACTCACCAGTTAGCAGCGGAAGGTAATGTGAACTGTCGTCCGTAACACGGCAGTTGCGCATATGACAGGATAAGCGGATTCCAAAATAAGTTACGCAAACGGCGTAACGCCAGTGAAAACACCAACCCCAATAAGAACGATACGCAAACATCGTAGAGAAAAACCAGCCCATATTTCCAAGAATTTTAGGAGGGGAAGACTTAACACCTGAACGACGAGTTGTATTTTGCATGTCAGACTGGCACAGGATTATACAAAAGTGTAAAAAAAAACACACACACAAACAATACAACAGTCTATAAATACAGCAATTTATTTATGTTGCAAAAAAAAGCCATTTGTTTATCAATGCAGATCTGTTTGTACAATCGACAACCCCGTAGACCTTTCAGCTTTGAGAGGACAAATATTTCAAAGGCTGCTGCATACATGCCACCATGTAAGGTATCTATATTAAAATACCCTTACAGACACTAATGCTCTGCATATACAATAATATATTGTAGACACTTGTATATTGCATTTCCACACTTTGCATTGCGGGTGTAAACATGTATAACCTGTTTGTCTGGTTCAAAGTTCAAGCAAGTCTGTGAATGTGTCACTTCTAGCCAAGCAACAGATTGGTCCGGATGACTTTGGGAACATGGCGAATGGTAAGGGAGACTCTGGTGCTGCGGAGCAGCGTGTTGCAAACCTGAGTCCCTGTTGATGAGAGATTCACCACATGCTCTGACAAAATATCCTCACAAACTCCGTGAATACCATGCAGATAAAATTTGTACATGTCATCCTGCAGAATCAGCAGACTTCTTCGTTGTACCAACAATGATAGCATGTAGCGGCTTTCTTCTGTTTGAGGAGTTTCAGACTGCAGGGAGAGGAGGAGAATGTTAAAAGACTGATGCGCTTGTGTTTGATAGTTTGATTGTTTGCCTGCTGCTACCTGAGTCTGACAAACAGGCTTGTAGAAATCTAGAAGTGTATGAGAACCCAGACTGATAGTTGTTACTGTGGGGTGATACAGTGGTCCATCCTCATGAGGCTGAGAAAGAGGGAAAGAAGGATAAAATGAAAAAGAAAAAAAAAGGTGGGTTAAAAATGATAACTACAGGGAATTAAAAGGTTAACTCTCTCTTTACCATAATTCCCTCCCCAGGCTTGTATTCATTTACAAGCACATGATTAGCTGTCTTTCCAGCAAAAGCTCCAAGAGCCGATATTTTCTCGGTGTACTTTAGCAACCAATCGGGGAGTTTCTCAGCAAGCATTCCTTTGGGATTTGGCAATCCACCTGAAAAAGAAAAACAACAACAACAACAATGTATTTTTTAAATACCCTCTCCAGCTTATACTGAACTCTTGTTAAAGTAACAAGTAGTGACATGTCAATCTATGTCAAGAACAAAAGAGCTACAACTACACAGGGCACAGCATCTAAGTCTAAGTCATAAATATTTCCTGTAGATAAGAATATGAAATCATTTTTGATATCATCAAACAGAAATAAGATAAAGTATATCAGACAGCAGTAGTGATTAACCCTATAAAATATACAGTATCATATTTGATAGATTATCAACATAAAGCTTTGCTGAAAGACTTTTGCACACAAACTACTACGTGTCTTCTGCCCTCTGATTGATTGTTCTTGATAGACAGACTTTTTTTTTTTTTACTAAGTAAAAGGCCTTTTAGTATAATTCTAAAAATGGCCACCTTCAGGTTGTGGTACACACATCTTTTTGCTGTGAAATCTTTAATAATTTTATAAAGTAAACACAAGCATAACTTTTATATTGTTTGTAATATTTCAAGATGAACATTTACCAAGTCATCTTACTAAGACATATTACTTGGAGATATAGAGTAAAAGCTTATATTTATATACATTTTTTAGCAGTCTGCTATACTATTATGAAGACCTCATTATTGATTTACAAGCTATCAGAATTACATCTTACTTTTTGCAATATAATTAACAATATATACCAAATTGCATATTTCTGCTCAGTTTGAGCCTCTGAATAAACCTGAGGTGTTTTTTTTTTTATAGGTGTTACTGTATAGGCCATAAAGGCCTAAGACAGTGGTTTTCTAACCTCTCCATGAAGTACCCCCAGCAGTACACATTTTGTATGTCTCCCTATATCTGACACACCCACTTCAGGTCTTGCAGTCTCCACTAATGAGCAGGTGTGATAGATGAGGAAGACATACAAAATGTGCAGGGCTGGGGGTACTCCAGGACAGGTTTGAGAACCACTGG